TATTATAGATTTAAATAATTAAAATTGTATACATATATTATTATATATAATATTATATAATATATAGACATACATATATTATATTGTATAACACAATATTCTTCAAATTTGTACAGCATTCATTATAAATTAATAAAAGATAGTTACCTATTTCTGAAGATGATGTTATAGTAGGTGATTTATATACAGGAGGTGAACACTTTTTTAAAATCTTATTTTTATAAGAATGACGTTTGCTAGACATTTGTTCTCCTTTACGTTTTTTTTTCAAAATTATTGAATTTGAAGTCGGATAAATCAGATTCTTCTTTTGCTTTTTCTCGTGCTTCTAGTAAGGAGCCTATAATAAAATAATTATATGTTGTTATAATTATTATAACAACAAAATATAAAATACCTAATTGTGTTTTTTAAAAGTATATATTTATAATATTGAAGCAAATAATTGAAATCAACCTGTGCAGGTGATTAAGAATGACAAATCAAATTAATGACCTAGGTCACAAATAACTATTTATAATAATAATTAAAAACAAAATTATTCTTTTTTTTTTAAAAAATATAATCGTGGATAAGTATACATATTTTGCATTCAACAGATTAATGTTTAGTCATTATATAATATTAACCAATATATTGGGTATAATATAAATACCAAAATTAATGTATAATTAATAATGTAGTACATACCAATATTTTTTGATAATAGTTTTGCTTTTATTCTTTTAAATTCCGATTCATTAACTGGAGTTTTTCTTTCAATATATTTATTCACGTTTTTTTTTATGTTGGCCATGCACACATTTTATCTTTGTACCAGGATGATGGAATAGCACATATCCCATCTTCAAACTGAACTACTGGGTACATTTTTGATCTGCGTAGATTTAATATTAATTTACAGCTTAGAGCTCTAAAGTAGTTKGGTATGGAGGTAATTATTTATATTGATTTATTACTATGATGCATAATATAACTTAGAAAATATGAGAAATATTTTTATTAAAGTATCCTACTAAAATTTATAAAAACAAATAAAACAATATACATTATTTACATTATTTACATATGACAAATTATTTGGATGAAAATTATTTTTATATAATTTACTCAGTATGAAATAAAGGCATTGCTATTTTTTCATTTTCAAAATGAAATAAAATATATTTTCTAGATATTTCATTTAAACAATAAGAATTTATTGAAGATGATAAATTATTTACAATAAAAATTCCTAATTTACTTGATTTAATTGGAGTTTCATACAAGTTTTTTTTTTCAGTAAAATATTTACCTAAGACTATGACCGATTTTCCTTTAACGATATTAATAACTTTAACAATATGGCCATCATTTGTTCCAAAGTAAGAATCAGAATCTTTATTTATTTTTAAAGTAAAACCCTTAAGTTCAAAAATCATAACATTGTACTGTACACCATATACATTTCCTGGTAAAGGTCCTTTTTGTGTTCATTTTTTAAAATAATATTATCAGGGTTATTATATATATAGTAGATACATTACATGGAAGTTTGTTAATTGTATGTCGAGTTTCATTATATCTTTTTACAACTTGCTCTAAAGGTTTATCAGGTTATCTAATCATTTTTTTAAGAGTTTTCATAAAATTTTCAAATGGAAAACAGCTAGAATTGTCCAGTGGTCCAAATATTCTGTACTCATCTACCAAATGTAAAACACCATGAATATTGTGAGAAATAAACAGTGTTCCATATTCTTCACCAAACGACTTGACAAAATGTCTTAATAAAATGTCAGCAAAATTCAAATACTTTTCTAAATTACTACTCAATAAAATTATCATTGAAATATTTAAACACATAAAATTTGTGTAGCATGATTTGGTTAATATATTTTTTTTAACTATAGGGCCAGTATACAGTAACAATTGTCTCAACTCAGTTGCTTTCCATCTATTTATTTCTTGGATATCTCTAGGTTTTCTACAAAATTCTATCGGTATATATTTTTTGATTAAACTTAGATTTATMGATATGCATTTAAGTTTTGCACTATGAAGACGTACTTATAATACTACGTATTATTCAACCACAGTAAAACAAGCTTACGCATCACCCCCAGACATGTTAAATGCATATAATCTAAGGGGAAAATATCAATTATATTTATGTTGGGAAGTTCAAGGAGTATTGTATTTGTTTCACTTATATTATATTCTTCATTAGTTCTAGATACAAAATCAGCATGAGTTCTTTTAGTAGAATGATCAGTATATGCAAATACTGCACGCCAATTTAAATATTCACCTTCTATTGTACATTTAGAGCAAGAATAAAGACCTGTATGGCCTTTTGTTTCGTTCTAGGACAAGTCGCCATCGCCGTTTCGTCGTCGCCTCTTCGCCGTCGCCACTTCGCCGTAAAACCATTTCGCCGTCGCCGTTTTGACGTGAGGCCACTTCGCCGTTAAAAAAAA